AAGGGAAACTTCTGGGTAATTATATTGTTAAAAATGGACTTGAAGCACATTCTTCAAATGTATGTGAAGTTATTTTCCACCGCCACAGGGACAGCAAAGCTGTCTTGGGAATTAAGCCTCAGATAGAGTCATTGGACTATCTTTTCCACACACTATCTGTGAATCTTGGCATTGAGGAGGACAAAAATCCACATCATTCTGTGATCCAGCACAAGCAGACAAATGTACAGCTGCACTGCGATGGACTTGTAGATATTAGCAGAGAAACAAAACCTAAGGAAAACAAGTTCTGTCAAGAGCCAGAGACACAGAACAGCAAAAACAAAGTGAAGTTAGATGAGACTTCCTCATATTCAGTTTGAGTCCTAGACTACTCAAAGAGCTGCAGGGTTTGGACTATCCTCATTATTCAATGCAGACATCTGCTCATGACTCACCCTGCAGAGGTGAGCAAAGACTGGGAGAGACTGGTGGAAGAGACTGTTCTCTCCCATCTGTGACATTCAGTTCTGCTTCTGGAACCTTGTCATGAGGTGACTTTGTAATAGTTGTATCCCAAATCACCTTGTTTATTTTACATATTAAGTTCTGCACCTTTAAGACTGGCTCTGAGAGCTAAGCAGGGGAAGAAGCTGCAGTTTGTGTAGAGAAAGAGTCCTCACTACCCCGCATCCTGCTGCTGGACTGTGTTGTCTGTGGCATGGACAGACAGTGGGACAGAGCTCTCCTTGGCTGTTAGTTTTTTAGCTAGATGAGCAGGGAAGTTCCCTGGACTGTTTTTTCCCTTGGATCTGTTCAAGCCTGCTCTGGACTGAAAACCCAGAAAAATGTCAGGAGCTCATGCTTGTGGTCCATAAAGGCACTGTCCAGTGCTGGAGGGACTGATAAGAAACTGAGCGAGCCAAGCTACACCCCACAACAAGGACTTTTCTGGATGTGCCATCTCTTTGAACAGCAAGAGGTTTCATTGTTTAGTATTATCCAATTTCTGTTAAATAAACAGGTTTTTTCCACTTTTCTCTAAGAAAATCTTTTCCTGAACCAGCTGGGGGAGGGGCCTCTTGAATTTGCTTTCTAGAGGGACCCCATTTGGAGGTTTTCTCCCAAATTTGCCCTAAACCAGGACAATACATTAATTGGCGCCCAACATGGGGCTTGAGAAAGTGGAAAAACATCTGTACTGATTGCATTTTGGTTGTGCTTGCTCTGTATTGGGATAAAGCAGTCAGTAGCCATGTTTTTTGAATGCATAATGTCTCTAAAGGTGGAGGCCTTCATGTGGTTTTGGTCCCTAGGCTTTTTTGATGTTTTAATACCTTTCTGGTCCCTAGGTTTATTTTCTTCTCCAGAGATAGCTCCAGTATTGTCCCTAACATGTAGCTTTTACAGTAGAGGGGCACAGATTAAAATAGGTATTGTGATGGGCTTGGTGATACTGATTTATAGGAAGGTTATAAAGGTACTGGAGTTGGTGCAAGGTATATTTGGTTTATGGTTTCTTCATTCTACCCTGCATCCCAGTCCCAGTAGCACGTTTTGGGAGTTCATTGGTAATTGCACCCAGTTTGTCAGAGGAAGAGCAGGGGATGAGGCTTTTCAGCCTCTCTTTTCCTTCTTCTCCTTTGAATCTGTTATGTCACTTTTTGAGAATGTTCAATTTCCCCTGAGTGTTAAGGACATCGCTTTCCTGGTGTTTCATCTGGTAAGCTTCCTCTACATGGTCTACAGCTTCTCTAGAATGAGGGCTGAGATGTCCAGAGGAGCTGATGAGATCCCTGATCCAGGAGTAGACCCAGGTGTGGAAAATCCTGAGTGGTGTGGAGAATGGGAGGATATGGACCAAACCCTGAAGGAATTTTCTGATCCTATAGCCTGGGACTTTCCACGGGAACAAATTCAAAACCCAGCTGAGGTGGGGAAATACCTGAAAGAGAAGTGCCATGATGATTCTAAGGAGAAAAAGATCATTGCAATAAGCTGGGCCCTGGTATATGCTTATTGCACATTGCTACATACTTGTAGGACAGGAGATAGAGGCAGCAAGACAGGGAGATACATCAGCAGCCACCCCAGTCACTCAGGCTGCAGCCCAAGCCAGCAGCTAAACCAGTTTTGGGGATATATCAAGATTCATCAGCAAACAATGGCAAATCAGGGGAAGTAGAATTTTGCCTGTCTTTTGAAGACTGTTAGCTATATTTACTGTTATACTGCAGTGTATGTGTATACAGCACTCTGCCAAGCAAGATATACTTTTTACTGACCTACTTGTGTTCCAATTTATTGCTAGTGACAGCTGTTGTCAATGATCTAGAGAAAATAAATTGAGAATACAGTAAAGAGACACTGACTGGTCAAAAAAATTAGTTGTTGTTTTAAATCAAATATAAGGGATTTACTCTCTTTAGAACTTTAGAGTATGATTAAAATTAAGACTTTAAAGCCATGGCTGGATTACAGTAATTCAGAACTTCATGGATTATGAGATGAAATACTTCACAGGCATCATTTAGGACAAATGCTGCCATTAGGATTACTACATAATTTAGACCTACCGTATTGCATTTCTTCAAATCCTCTGCTGTGGTGCTATACAAATTTGAAAGGGACTGGTTGCCATGTTTAATTTGATCCTTCTAACATGTGAGTCAAATCTGTTGACATTTAACATTTGCAGCCAGTCTAATCTGCTACATTTCAGTGACTTCTCTGCACAGGAATTTCAGGATGAAGATCCAGTGTAGCTGATATTCTGGTGGCGTATCCCAGCTACAAGTTGTGGATGACAGCTGTAGTACATGACAATCTCCCTCTAGTTAGCACAACAGGCATTTAACTGTTTCTGGTTTTTAAGGCCAAATTAGGACATATTTGATTCAGTGTTTTTATCTTTTTTGCCTTTTTAGATTTTTTTTTAGTGGTCTACAAGTTGCTTGGGGATATTCTACATGGAAGGCACTACACATGAACAATTTAATTGTATCTCTCTCTGAAAAGATGAAACAGTTTTATTGGAGATGCCTGCCAGAGGAATCACTTGTAACACTAATGGGAAAAGCTAGTGATAAAAGCCTCTAAGATGATAGAGATGGTGACCAAGGCAGATCTCCTATGACTATATCCTAGGGGAAAAATAAAGCAAACCATTCACCCTTTTTTTTGTCAGCATCTTAAGGGAAAATCAGATGAAGACACAACAGTTTTCTTGTAATTGTTTCTATGTTTTTTTCTAATCCAGAGGTGAGCACATCCTACAATTTTGACTTTTATCAGATACTGGCACCATTCTGCTTTGTATGTACATGTTTAAACTGCAGAAAAAATTGAACAGTTGCAAGTAAATTATAGATGATAGAATATTTTAAGATACATGATGAGTTAGGTAGCACTTATAAACAGTTTCATGTTTCCTCAATGGAGATTGTTGAATACAGGAGAGTTAAAGACGTGGAGGGAGGTGGAGAAAGGTGAATAAGGATATATACACAGGGGAGTTTTCTCCAAAAGAGGCAAAAAACTTATTACATTTATTCAGCTTACATCTGCTTATGACTGCCATGAATATACAAAAATTAATCTCACCAGTCCTCTTTTCTTGACATACAAACCAGTTACATCCTTTTGAAGTCCACAGGAATTATTTATACCTTACAGCAGGAAAAATGGTTTCTTTTCATGAGAGTCTCCTGTCTCTCTAGTTGACCTTGAGACCAGATAGTGTGAACAAGCATAACAAAAACAACAGTAATAATAATAATAATAATAGTAATAAAAAATATTAAAAATCCCAATTCTGGTAGAAAGCAGTTTCTAAGGAAACCAGATGGTTTGTTATCCCAGGGTTTCCTTTTGTATAAGGGAGTTTGAGATGTCATGGGTGAAAGCCTGGAAATATGAAAAATATGTCAAGGTCACACAGCTCAGAGCTTCAGGCAGTTTGAGGCATACCTTGAACAGAACCTCTTCTACACTATCCAGAAACCTCTTCTACACTATCCAGAAACAAATATCAGTATTTGCAGGCCATAACATTACCCATCAAAAAAATCTGGATTTTCTAGATACTAGGAGTTCAACCTTCAGTTCCACCATTATGTTCACTAAATAATACAATGTCCTACATGACCTTGGGGACAAAATAGATTTTTTAATTTACCAAAAATAAAGACAGTTACAAGCTTTAATTATTTTAAGAGATGGAGAGTAAAGGATGTGTGAAGGATGAAGTGGAAGTGGAGAGGGTCAAGTAACTCTCCAGATACTTGTCCTAACCATTGCTGCTTCCTGCTCCCCCTGCCTTTGTGATACCTTTAGCTGATCAGAACTAGCCACGACAGCAGCAGCTGTCGAGGCTCAGGGATGCAGGGATGACTCCAACCTCAGGCTTACCCTGCTCACCTTGCTTGGGTGTTGTGGGACTGGACCCCTGCCAGTTGTATTTTGCATCCTGGCTCTTGGCTCTCTGTCCTTTAGGGAACAGCCAGTCCTCACTTCTCCCTGATGATCAGGGACTTTTGACAAGGGCATGCAGTGACACGACAAGTGGAAGTGACTCAAAACTGAACGGCAGTAGGTTTAGACTAGCTGTTAGGAGGAAATTTTTTACTGTGAGGGGAAGTATGGGAACAGATTGCTCAGAGAAGTTGTGGAGTTACCCATACCTGTAAGTGTTCCAGGACAGGTTGAGAGGGGCTTTGAGCAACCTGGTCTAGTCAGTGGCAGCCCTTCCCATGGAGTGGAATTGGCACTCAGTGGTATCTAAGGTACCTTTAAACTCAAACCATTCTATGACTCCATGATTCTATGCATTCTACTATTCTATGGTTAGAAACTTAATATATGATGAAAAATTAAGGTTTTATATAATATTTGTTATTAATTTCTCAATGTACATAAAGTATTACTGTAATACTCCAAGCAATGTCTCATTTCCTGTTGGACAAATTGTATTTTTTCTCTCTTTAAATGTCACTGTTTATTTTAGAGTCATATGTACTCACATATCATCGAAGATAAGCTTTGTTCTTCTGCAGTCCCTTGGTGTGGTGGACAGAGGTGACCAAGGCTCTGTTTGGAACTGTGGCTTATTGCAGAGAAGAACATTTTCTGAATTGATGTGAACTGCTTTCTAGACAACAAACAGTCAATAAGACATTTAGGAATTGGCTAATAACTTAAAAAAACCCAAATAACAAAAACCAGAGTCTTTGCATTGTGTTGTACATGGGAAGTTAATTTTCCTGCTATTTCAGCAGAAAGTATATGTGTGTCCTGACACTGATGACCACAAATTCACAGATATGGCTTTGTAAAGTGGTTGAGTTTCAATAAGATATACAGCAGAAACTGAGCTAAACTACTGGTAACTATCAAAATACTCTGTAACACAGTAACTTAAATTATTAAAAAGTAGATCTTTTGTAATTTAGAAGATTAGCTTATACCTCTTGCCTTCAGCATCCAGTCAAGCACTGTACTTTGCTTAGGAGAGCATGGCTCACATTTGACTTGATTCACATTACACTGGTGATGTGCCTGTGTTGTATGAATTTGTAATCCAGGTTTCTTTGTGCTCCAGAGCTCCCCTGATGAGCTTGAAAGATCACTTCTCTGTGCTGCAGTGGAAGCACATGTCTTTTGGCAGTGTTTAGTTGCAGTCCTGTTCTACATGTGGCCTCCTGAGCACCTTCATCCCACCAAGTGACCCTGCTGTAGAGGCTACTGTGCACTGGGATGGAGCAAAACAGAGGGCCCCAGGTGGTTCTTAGTTGATAACAACTGCCAAAAAATGCTGTTCCATTGGCAGGTGACAGGCAGAAAGACACCAGGGACATGGGGGAAAAAACTCAAATGGATGAATGCCCACTATGGGCAAGCTTTGCTTGCAGTCTCTCAAAGATATCTGAAGGACCACTTGGGCCTGCCAGTTGGCTGCCAGATGAGAAGATGGGATAAAACCAAGCTAAGTTTAACATTTATAGTTCATGAGCTCTTCTACACGGCACATCCAGATCAGTTCATTGGCCTAAAGTTTTCAGATCAATAACCAGATACATAAGAATTTTATTGCAAAGGTTGTTAAATGTTGACCAAATGGTGCATTGCTAGGCTATGCAGAAAATCTCAGTGAAATGCATTTGCTAAGGGTGTGGATCATAAAGCAATCACCTTTTACTTTTGATTTCCAGCACATTTACCTGTGAAGGAATTTAAATTATTTTCAAGATACCCAGTGAAGAATCATAATTATAATTCTGAATGGGTTATAAACTTCTAAATTTATGTTTTGGAAGTTAAAATGTTTAAAACTTTACATTTAATTAATGAAAAATAAATTAGTAACTATTATATGTTAAAGGCCTTTTTACTGGAATATTTTATGTACTTTGTTTTTTTCAATTTACCAAAAGCATCTGTGAGATAGCCTTGGAAAACACAATTTATGGTAACTCATTTTTGAAAATGTGTCCAAAATTAAGATAATATTTATTACTTCCTCCTCCATTAAAAAAAAAAAAAAAAATATATATATATATATATATATATGTATATATATATACTTAACAGACACAGGGGGTCACTTATCCCCACAGCAAAAATTGCTGGAAGAGACTGCTGCTACAATTCAGGTAGCTTGCTTTTCTAGTTGCTTAGGCACAAATACTTAGGCTTTTGAAGCCTCTTGTACATTAAATAACAAACACAGCAAACAGATACAGAATGAAAAACGTGAATAGCTTTTGTAGCAAGGAGAGGAACATGGGCAGCAGAGTGCCTTTACAGCTTCTCTAGATGCTACAGCAGTGGGAATCAAGATGATGGTATCCAAATTGCTTCTTCTAGGTATTTTGCACAAAGCAGAACAATGTCATGGGGAGGAGGTGACAGTAGTCTGCCCTTGATCATCTACTCTCAGTGTCCTGTAGGCTGGAGGGTAGGGTATGATTTTGAAAGATGAGATGAGAGAGAGATGGAAATTCCTTCAATCAAAAGAGCTAACAAGGTCTTCAGCATTCTAATTACAGAACTCATGCAGAAACAGGAGCAGCATCTACTCCTCTCTCTCTGTGCTCTGAAGGCAGAGGCCACAGAACAATGCTGTAGTACAGCCTTACCTGGAAGTGTGCTCTGGGCAAGACTCTCTGATAAGGATATGAATACAACTCTGATGGAACTGAGTTGTGAGGCTGGTGCTAAGATGTCACTGGTATAAGCGGAATCTGAAGAAGTTTTTTCTGAGACGGGTAGAAAAATTTGTCTGCAGGCACACCCATGGTTAGGCAGTGGCTGAGTGAGTCCGTAAGCATGGGGGCTTATGCACCATGAATGTAGGGGGCTTGCATCATGCCCAAGCAATGCTCTGGAGGCCTAAAGCCATTTGTTTGGGTCCATTAGCTTTTACCTCTTGCTTATGTAGCCTTTGCTATTTGCCTGTTTTACAGCCTGCCATCTTTCCTTTCTTCTATGCCTTGCTAAACTCCAAACCAGAAAAGCTGAACTTAGAAAATAACATTCATTATTACAACTTTTTTCTTTTTTTTTTTTTTGCATAACATTCTGCAAAACTATCACAGACTGCAATACAAAGTGGAAAATATACTGCTAAGCTTTATATTTGAGCAGCATACACTTACATTGAAGTCTCCAGGATGTGGCTGCGACTGGATTTCACCCTTATGTTTTTTGCTGGAGGAGATTGAAGGTAATAGACTGCTGCCATTAGGTCTGCTGGAGGAAGTTAAATCATCGCTGGAATATTTGTGTTTTGATGCATCAGAGAGGGGAGAGACGGGTGACCGAAGCATTTTCTCATTTTTATTTATTGGTATTGCCAAGCTGGAAATGGAAATTACAGTAATGGAGTGTCACAAAGCTGGCTTTGAGAAAGGTAAATGTTTTATATATTACCAAAACTTTGAATTTAAAACCTGCTGGCAGGATAAAGTCTATTGGTATCTGGAAACGAGCTTACAGTATTGGGACCAAGAGTTCATTTACAAATTTGTATCATGTTTCTTCTCTTTCCCTTCAAGGCAAATTGTCATTCTGGAGCTAATATAAAGTCTGTATCAGAGTACTTGAAAAAAAATATAGAGATAAATGGCTACTTGCTCACCATTTCTTAAGGGATAGCTGGAGATGAAGATTAGGCTCTGAAGTGTAAGTTCAGGTTATGGAGCCCTATTTCACCATTACAGGTGACAATTTATAAGCCATGGCAATAAAACCATATGTGAACTAAAACAGGAAATGTGTTTAAAGATGACTGGCTTGTCTTTGTGCTCAGTGCCCAGCCTTTGGTAGCAGTGTTTATACTAATCTAATACAGATTTTGAAGACAAAGAAAGATAGGCTGATAATGCAGACAAAAGGAAACATATGCAAACAGTAGACACAGAGAAATGTGAGCTGCTCTATCTTCTAAAGCAGAAAGCTGTTACACAGACAATATTTTCAGCTTTCATTTACTTGGGAGAAGTTTTGGATGAGAAATCAGACAGACCATATAAATATGCCCAGAAATAAACTTCAGATGCACTAATTTGAAGAAAATATTTAGCTGAAAATCTTAAAGCAACACACAAAAAATGCCAGTTTTTTTAAGGAGATAGTTGGCATTAAAACTAAAACTGTGATTAAGGTCAGAAAGACAATTTTAACACTATACCTTTCCCTGTCACATTCCCCTTTATTCAGCCTATTACTTTTTATGGACAATTCTCACTTCTTTATAGTTACTGTATCAGACAATATACACTTAATGGAATCACAAAAAAGAATACAGTAAAAACTATACTTCATTTCTGCACATAATTTCAGGGAACAGAGCTAATTAAATGTGCTCTTATCATACATTTGTCCATTTATCTGGCAAGTCTTTTTAAAAAGTAGCTGTAAAAGAAGCCATGAATCGTAATTCAGAACTTTTACTGTTTCACATGGCATAGTACCTTTAAAACACCATGTCAACGGTTTTGCTTTAATGACCAATGATGTTTACAAAAGCAAGACTCAGAGTGTGAAAGATAGACAACTGTGCCCTTCTTCTCCCCCTAAGAAAAATAAGATCTTTAGCACTATGTTGAATGTGCAGACTGATGCTGTAATTTCTTTTCCTCTTTTCAAACATAAACCCACGCCTCGGCTACCCATGTTGATAGATACATCACTGTCAAAATATGGGCCTAAAACATCCAAGGGAAGGCACGGCTCTTTGGAAGTATACACAACCCTCAAGAGCTTAGCCCTATGTGGTGGTGACACTGGTGGTTGGGTTCTTTTCCCCAGGACTGGGGATTGACAAGAGAGAGAGACTGTTTTCTTGTGTTTGGGCTCAGTTGTTTATTCTTTCCTTATTTATATTACATATACACAGAGTACAAGGAGCTACATACACTAAGATAGAAAGGTGCAAGATGGCTAACGGAGAATCTCTTCAAGGTTTTTTATTTGTCTATTTGTCCAGTAATCAAATGCCAAGTAAGTTATTTCTCTTAGTGATCTGACCCAACACCTGTGTGCAGCACTGCAGCACTCTCTATCCAATCACTCATTATTACACAAAAACCCTTAGAAGAGGGCAATGAAGAAGGAAGAAGAAAGAAGTTTAAAAGCTGTCTCCATGATACTATGCTAAACTCAGTGCTCTCCTGGGTGTCAGAGCCAGGCACCACAGATAAGGGCCTATTTTCTGTGCTACTGATCTCAACAGCCTTGAACTTATGAGGAGGAGCTGACATTTCTACTTGTGCTGAACACCCCTTACAGGGCCTTTGGACACTGAGTAGGGCCCACCTAAACAAAGTGTGAGCAGCCAAAGTGCAGTAGTACACTGAGAGGCCATGCAGGACAACTTGCAGCAGAGGACAGTCTCAAGGCTGACATCTGCTGGGAATGGGCAGACTGTGGAGCTGATAAAGGTGCAAGAGATTTGGGGTATCTCTGAGCTTTCTTGTCAAGCAGGACCTTACTTAGTCTGCATCTCAGACTGTAATTCCACAACAGAAAATGCTCATAGCTGAAGGTGGTCTTGTTCCTCTTATTGCAGCCCACAACTCTGCTGCCCAAACTGTCTGGCTGGCTTTACTGGGAGATGAGTACTACTACTCTGTCAAAAAAAAACCCAACCCAAATTAAAAGAAGGAAAAAGCAAGAGAAAAAGAAAGAATAAATAGAAAAGGGAAAATGATAAGTAAAAGAGACAGGAGGAGAAGAAGAAAAAAGAAAAAGAGAAGGGAAAAGGAAAAGCAAAAGAAGAAAAAGAAGAAAAAGGAAAAGAGAAATGAAACGGTAAAGAAGGAGGAAAAGGAAAAGGAAAAGGAAAAGGAAAAGGAAAAGGAAAAGGAAAAGGAAAAGGAAAAGGAAAAGGAAAAGGAAAAGGAAAAGGAAAAGGAAAAGGAAAAGGAAAAGGAAAAGGAAAAGGAAAAGGAAAAGGAAAAGGAAAAGGAAAAGGAAAAGGAAAAGGAAAAAAGAGGTTTGGTTCCAAACAAGTTTTGCGAGTATATTTACAGGAGAACCTCAGAGGCATCTATGGTGGTGTAACTGGAGAGGGGCTGTGCCAGCATGAGCAGATAGATGCTGGTTGCAAGATGACCAGGAGGTCCTGATAGCTGCCCTGCTGGTTTAGCTACAGCCTCAGTAG